AAGTAGAAAATCCTAACTAATCAGCAGTCATGCATGTTCTGCCCGCTTTCCATCATCATGTCCAATCTTTATTTAGCCCTAGGAAAAATGAGGTCATTTTAAAGTATATCTCAACATGAGACAAGTTTCCCACACGTACTGGGTTGATTGAAGATTTAGAATATTCAATTTATTGTGAATTTAACTGCACCGCAACATATTCCGCATCCGGCCTAACTCAAACGATCGGAATGTCTCTTTTATTTTTTACAGATATTTTGATACAGATACGTTTTCAATCTAGTTTTAAAAGTGTTCAGAGTTTGGGAATCACTTATGACGATACATTATGCCACTTTTCTTTTGTTGTGTACTCTATGTCATGTTTTGTTAATAACACGGCGTACGCAATGCTAAATAAATGTTAATTATTTTTTATAATTATTAAGAAAGTTACGGTGCTTGCAATTTTAAATTTTTCATTAATTAATTTCAGTAATATTCGTTTCTTAGAATCGCATGAAATTGCCCATTAGACTTAAAATAGGCCTATGCTTCGACTTGTCTTCTTCATGAGAACTATTTTTAATACTTATTTCGGATTTCTGAAAATTAAACTTTTGTTTTAATTATTTACGAGTCATCATTATTTTAAAAATGTGTTGGCATTCAAGAAAATTGACAATGTTGTTCATTTTTTTCCCTTTTCCAGCTCTCTGCTTTGGTCAGTTGAGGGAGACGAATACACTACCTAAGCCCTACTTTACGTGGCACCATGCATCATCAGGATCAACATCGACCGCCTGATGTCTTCTATACCTGCACAAATATTCACAAAAGAGATTAGAGATCATGTCTGTGTTGGTTGTGATTCAGTGTTTGATTCAAAGGCTCAAACCGACGTCTATTTTTTTTTATTTCATGTCCAAATTAAGTTGAACTGTGGTAATGAAATCTGATGTCAAAATTGATCGGCCCATCAACATTGAACATTTGAAGCGTCTATTTGCCATTGTTTAAACCTGTCAGACTGACGCCACTATTTTTACTATTAACTAAAGTTAGAAAACTTAACACTGTTATTTCGGTTGTGTACTATGTGAACCTAGCCAACCAGTTGTGTAAAAAAACTGAACAAGTTGTGTAATATTTTTACACTGTTGTGTAAACAACAGTTTACACAACAGGTTGCTAGGTTCATATAGTACATAACCGTTTGATTTTTACACAACCGAAATAACAGTGTTCAACGTCTACAAAAATTACATTTGCAACCATGTACTGACCTAACTTCAACCATGAAATCCGAACGTTGAAAGGACGTTATTACGACGGTCAGATAGACGTCAATTTTGACCTCACTCAGACGTTATAATGTGGTCATTTTTCGACGTCTAAATAACTTCAACCGCGACGTCCTGTCGACGTCCATATAACCAGTCAAATCACGGTCAGACTGACGTCATAATTTGACTATATTCGGACGTTAGCTTTCGGTCAGGTTTTCGACGTCCAAATAACTGACACTTTCAACCATATTCTAACCTAAATTCAACCAACAATCTGACGTCCTGTCGACGTCCATGTAACCAGTTAATCATGGTCAGACTGACGTCATAATTTGACTATATACAGACGTTAGATTTCGGTCAGGATTAGCAGTTAATCATGGTCAGACTGACGTCATAATTTTAACCACATACCGACGTTAGAATTTGGTCAGGTTTTCAACGTCTAAAAAACTTACACTTACAACCACGACGGCAACCAAAAAACAACGTCGGAGTTGGTCGGAATCTGACGTCAGATAGACGTTAAACCGACCAAAAATGCCTGCTGGGATATGCTGTCAACTCAGACACCAAATTAAAAATGCAAACTCACGTATGTTCTGATGAAATGTATGTTCGTGGAGATCGTGATGATGATATTGACCTCAATTGTCATGTCATAGTCTGGTTCCCAGACCAAAAGATTCTGACTATTCCTGATGAATCTTATTCACGTCAGGGGTGCTGTGGGTGCAGGCCAGTATAATCGGTCCGTAATTATCTACGCCGACCAAATCACGATTTGCATGGCCTCAAATTATCCAGTATTTGAGCATAATTGTGGGCCATGAACTTGAGGGTTTGCAAAAAATATAGGTGGAAGCCGTGCACAGGAGAGTGAGCTTGTATTTCTATGAAATTTGCATGAAATTGGGGCCCTAAAAGCGCTCTATTTTGCAATGGAGTGTATGCACACCGTTTTTCAAAATGGCGATGGGCTTCAGGACTATTTTAAGGGGTGATCATTTTCGGATGGAAATTTCTCCCAAAAGTCATAAGATTACCCCCCCCCCCCAAAAAAAAAGTATTGAAACGAAAATGAAAGATGATGAATAAGCTGTAATTTGATGTGTATCTTGAACACCTTGGAGAATTAGTATTTTTTCTGAATTTCTGAAAAGGGGGTTTTATAATTGGGATGTGTAGCAGTTTACTGCACCCTGTGATGTGACGGAGGTGCGACGACGGCTGTTTGATGCTGTATAATTAGCAACCGTTGAGGGGCAAGATAGTGGCATGTAGGCCTATATATAAATTTCAACTTAAGCATTAATACACTCATTTCCGTTTTGTTCCTTTTTTCACACACAAAAACACAGATCGTGTGATTGTAATGTTTGTTATCTATGGGTGTGTTCGATTAGCTCACCCGGGTCGACAGGGGTCAGCCCCGTGCCGTCTATCAGCTCTGACGTCATCCTCGGGGCTCACCCGGGTCACCGGTCAGGCACCACAGACTCTGCTCGTGGAGCAAATCGAGTCATTGGTGGAAATACGTCACAAGAAAGAGTTGTTCATCCCTTGGCGGCCTGGTAGAAATGTCAAGTGGACCCAAAAATAAACTTTATGTGACTGAGTGTAAAGGTAATTGAGTTCATTGCGACTTAAAAGGCTATAGGCCTAATTCCAGCCCAACTTTGTTTTTGAGTTTTGCAATGGACCGTTCCGGATTTGGCCATAAGCCCCGCCCACCGTAGCAACCGCATGGCAACGCATTAGCTCGGTCAAGCTCAGTGTCGACTTTAGGGTACTTTGCACTGACGCGTATACAAATAGCCTCAACAATGCGAGCGGATCTTGCCAAAGGGCGGTAGATTTAAATTCTTTCGGCGTGTAAAACATGGGCAAATGGAGGATACCGGGAAAGTGAAGATACAATTACTCCAAGAATGAACAGATGAATGAAGTTGCATTTGTAGTTTTGAAATTAGAGGATGGCCATCAGGTGGCAACACCAGGAAAATATGCTGCCGAAGTACATAGGCCTTTGCCTACGGTTAACGGTTATAGCTTAGCCTAACGTTAGACTGAGGGAGACGCCACAAATCTTGAATTTAAAGCAGAGTTATACAGAGCAGATGTAGCTGGGTGAGTAAGCATGTATATAACTTGTTTATTCTCTTTGTTCAAAACAAATAAAACAAAAAAAATGGTGGGTCGCTATTCTGATAAAATATGAAAAATGTTATTTCCTTTTTATATTATTTATATTATAATACCACGGTAATAAAAAAAAAAATCCATCGCAATTGAAATCCTACCGTAGAACACTCGTACTTGCTGGTCCTTTCATTTTGTTTACATTCAGATCCGAATATGGCCGTCCATCGTGACACGCTGCCCAGTCAGGCCTTGGTTCTTTATTCTTATACATTTTCAAGTTTTCTTTTTGGCTTAAAAAATGGGGGAAAACAATTCTATTCAGTGGGTCCAGATGTCTGGTGCCGTAGTTTTATGTGCCACAACAGCAGATTTCGACCATTTTTTAATTAACCGAAACGTACGGACAAAAAGCCCCATTTTAGGACCAAAATATTTACACGGTTCCGTCAAACCCATTGGTTTGTGTACATTTTTCATCACGCATGTGGCCGAGTTTGACCGAGGTATTGGCGGACATCGACTGGTTGTCAAGTTAACGTGGTCACCTGACGAAAAGACGCAATCTAATTGGTCAATGCGCGCTGTTTGATTGACAGGCCGGAACGGTTTATTGACTGAAAAGCAGTAAATCTCAATGAGGACCCAGCACGAAACGGCCGTTTTGTCAGTGGCTATGGCTGCGGCTATACGGAGTCACGTGAGGATCGTGATGGCCCGTGGTGGAGCGTTCGGCTGTCGTAAATAACTCGTCTACCTGAAGTTACCCGAGTTCGGGTAAGCTACTCGAACGCACCTATACTGCTCTGAGGCAAGTTAAAACTGTCCGAGATCGTTGTCTATAGCTTCATTGTTGAGTGACTAGTGCATGGATCTTTCTTAAAATCTTGAACGAGAGAGTTCTGTAACAGGCATAAACATAGGGTTAAGGTAAATTTAAGCTCACTTGTTGAACTACGGTATAGGTTGTACTTAGGCGGACGCAGGGAATTCGGAAGAGAGTGTGACTGGAAAAATAAAACACTCAGTCAAACTCGATGTGTAATTGGAGACCTTGCATGTGTGGGTTTCTTTCTATCAAAGTACCAATGTTTTGGCCTGTATTTTTTTTCATTGACCCAAAATAAGTCCACAGACCGATGATTAACTCTCTATCTTCAATTTATTGTGAATCTTAACAGCGAAGAAAATATATAAACACAATATATTTGTTGAAAAAGTGTTGGTGGAAAACTTGGGGGGGGGGCAATAACGTAACTTACTTTCAATGAGGACGCTGTTCAAATCCGACAATCATTAGCACTATATTACAGAATAGTGTACAAATACCCCTGACGAATTCTGTGCACAGGCGGACATTATTACCAGTATATTTTGTTCATTTTTTTATTTAGATCGGGGGGGGGGGGTCCCACGTTATTTTTTTATGTATTTCCATGCAAAAAGATGCGACGATTTTTTAAGAGAAACGAACAGGAACTTTCAGGAGCTGTATTGTAAAACTCAGTCGAGTGTTGCTAAAATTCGTGTTCCTGCCCTTGTGAACAATTGCACTCCGTTATGTTTTTTTTCCTCGTCTCTGCTACTTACACGAAGCAAGAAGAATCTGCAAAGATAAAAGAAATAATTATATCTAATTTATTACACTTTGTTCACATTCGAAGCACATCCCAACTATTGGATTGAATACATTTGATATGCCACTTCCCGAAGATCAAGACAAAAAATAAAAATGAATAATAAAAAAATACATCTAAATCCCTTGAGCTAAATTACCTCAACATTTGGTGAAGACTTGCTCTGCAAGCAGGTCATCAGTCCTTCCGTCTATCCTCCTCCCTGCTTCCGGTTCCTTTAAGAAGTGATTGTATCTTCGTCCAGAAAGATAGCTCATCTTGTAGACCGTCATCTCTGCGAAAAGATTAGAAGGAACACATGTAAGAAAAGGTGTGCGTGACAATGTTGCTTTTCTTTTGTATTTTTCGATTTGTCAAGTTTTTAAGTGATTATTTTTCAATTTTACATTAAATTTATTTTCGTCTAGGCTTATCTTTTTTTTTAATAAGGTATCATTACTCGCTCAGCAGAATAACGTGAAACATCCCAAGACATTTTTCGAAAGGAAAATAACATCAACACATGTATTTTTACCTGGGAATCAGTAATGGGTCGCCCGATAAGCAGGGTCATCCAGCCATCCGTTGTTCCTCCTCCCTGCTTCCGGTTCCTCCGTGTCAGCAGCTCCTGACATGAGCTCATCTGGCTTGCTGGTCCTTCTAATCAAATTGCAAGTGGCTGAAAATAAAAGAATCTTCCTAGCGGAGCTAGGTTATGTTTAATGTACAGTGGTTTCCTGATCAAATTTGTGACCGGTGCAGGCATGCTGTGGTATAAAGAGAAGGAAAACGTATTTTAATGGTTCTTTACCTGACCACTATCAAGATACAATCATAAAAGGGGAAACTTAGTTTAGGTTTACGCTACTTAGATCTCTAGGCCTAACTGGGTGCAAAGTATCTACAGACGGTGAAGATAATCCAATCAGTGGCCCTTACGTAACCACTGGAATGGATTAAACTGTTGAGATGAGAAAAAGAAAGCTTAGTTTATGGATAATTTGGTGAAGATAATCCAATTAGTGGCCCTTACCCGACCACTGTAATGGATTCAACCGTTGAGAAAGAAAGCTTAATTTAGACTAAATAGATAATTTGGTCAACTGGTCGCGAAGATGATATTCCAGTTTGCGCAAAGCAACTTACGCGCAACGCGGTTCAAAGGGAAACAACATTCACATTGCCGACCAGCTGTGATCGGACTTATCAGAATTGAAAAATACCATCGATCAAAACCTCTACTTGTGTTGTGGTTGTTAAAAAAAACCAATTGATGCAAATTGTTTCATCCTGTTTTTAGGCTATGCTCTTTACAGCGATTACAAGGTGTATCCGACGTTACAGGTGTCATTACACCTGATTTACAATTTAAAAAAATGACACAATGGCCCTAACACAAAAGGCAACTGTCGATCTTTACGAATCGGATATGGAAGAACAAGTCACAAGTGGCATCGTCTAAACCATCATTTTGATTACGTTTCAAGACCGTTACATATTTAAAAGAATATGTAAGATCTGCACATGACCCTAAATGTGAAGAGCATTTACATATACGTGGCCCTATACGTGTAGAACAGTACATCTCCAAGAAAATGTTTGTCACTCAGACAAATAAAGTAGAATTTTAAACATGGCCCTAAAGGGTATTTGACTACGTGAACCGCGGTGAAGTTACAACAGGTGAGCAAAACACAGAGTATATACAAGAAAACTTAGATCCAACGTTAGAGCTTATTTAAGCTTCAAAATAGCTATTCATACTCAACACATGTCCCTAGAGTATTTTAAACAATGATTCGCACTCAAGACGAGATTATGAATGCATAAGCAGTTTTCAAGAAAATACGCGTCTGGTTATTGGAGGAATGTATACAGAACGGAGCAATATAAGATCTCTATAGACTGCATGGCCCTAAAAAAATGTTGCATGATAAATTAGAAAGAATTTTTTACAAAAACAAATTAAGACATGTTCACATGGCCCTGGAATCCTGTACAAAATTTGTCACTTAACTACAGAAGATCATACACAAGAAAAATTGGGTTTGGCAGAAATCTCTACAAAACGGCGATGAAAGACACGACTGGAATTCAAAAAGTTTCATTCGCACGTATGACCCTAAATATCTTACACGAATTGTTACACGTGGAAAAAAAACATTCCTACAAACATGACCCCATACGTATTACAATCATTGTCTTTAAATGTCAAGCATAAGACATTTTTGTGCAAGATTAAACAGAAAATGTGCAGATGTTGCAAATAGGAAAAGAAGCAGAACGATTTACTTTTACATGGCCCCACCATGATTTGACCATACAAATCCTTCCTAAATAGCATGTACTACGTGGTTCAGCAGTTTTGAGTACTCGCGTGTATATGATCGTCTTCCAACTTGTACTCGTGTAATCGGTTTCGCACTCGAACTCAAAACGAACTCGTTAACGTTAACAAACGATACATTTGTTATTTTAATCCGTACCTATAGCAGGTTGGTATCCGTCGTCATATTTTCTTCCTATACACATATCAAGGACGACACAAAATGAATCAGTTTATTTTTTATTTTTTCGATTATACGGTTCTTGAACTCGAATACGAACTGGTACCTCGTATTTCGTATACTCGATCCCCAAACACGAACTCGCACTCGTCATTTTTTTCGGCTCGAAGTCGAACTCCTGTCACTTTGTTCGAACTTGAGCTCAAACACGAACTTTGTTCGCATTCGAACTTATCATGCGTATGAACTCGTACTCGTAAAAGAACGATTAATGTGTTGTTTTAATCCATATCTGCAGGTCGTTATATACACCGTCTTTTTTCTTCCTGTACACAAATCGACAAAACGATTAATGAAAGACACAATGATTGACCTTGACTTTGTTCGCACTCGAACTCAACACGAACACGCTATCGTTGAAGAACGATAAATTTGTTGTTTTAATCCATACTTGCAGGTCGATAAACACCGTCTTTTTCTTCCTATACACAAATCGGACAAATGATTAACAAATGAAAGATACAATTTAATGATTGACATTGACTTTGTTCTCACCCGAACTCAACACGAACACGCTATCGTGAACGAACGATGCATTTTGTTGTTTTAATCCATACCTACAGGTTCATCGTCTTATTTTGTTCCTATACACAAATCGGTCAAACAATTGACAAATGATTGACAAGATGTTATGATTGACACTAACTCTTTTCGCACGCGAACTCAACACGAACTCGTAATCGTTAACGAACGATGCATTCGCAGTTTGATATTATTCGTCTTGTCGAATAAAACGATTGCTGACAGTCAGTTTTTGTTTTCGATTTCACGGTTCCGCTCTTAAAATTTTTCCTCATTGATTTATTTCACCCTTGAGGATTTTCGGCTTTTAATTTATACATGTCATCTTTTGAAAAGTCATTTTCAATCGAACAGAAAGCGCGCGAGTATAGTTATTTCGAATACACAATTATTTCGGAATCGTACATTACTGACACCCAAAGACGTGGGCATTTAGAAACAAATTATCACGATTTATTTTGCACATCCAAGCGGCGGGATTTTCATTCCTTTCCCACATGGTGCTTGGTATTGTGTCGTAAGTAAGAATCGTGCGGAGAGGTTCCTTGGAGAAATTATTATCTTTAACTCTTTGTCTTCCTTACAAAACAGCTCTTAATTACGTCAACTTAATACATTATTAAAGTATGATTTGTTGGCGATGTAGCACCCATCAAGGGTGTGGTCTTCCTCAATAGTAGCACCCATCAAGGGTGTCGTTCTCCATCAAGGGTGTCGTTCTTCTCAATAGTAGCACCCATCAAGGGTGTCGTTCTTCTCAATAGTAGCACCATTCAAGGGTGTCGTCCTTCTCGTTAGTAGCATTAAGGGTGTCGTATTTCTCAATAGTTGCACCCATCAAGGATGTGAGGTTAATCTCAATAGTAGCACCCATCAAGGGTTTAATGTTAATCAATACAGTATAGCACCCATCAAGAGTGCCGTTCTTCTCAATAGTACCACCCATCAAGGGTGTTGTCCTTCTCAATAGTAGCACCCATCAAGGGTGTCGTCCTTCTCAATAGTACCACCCATCAAGGGTGTCGTCCTTCTCAATAGTAGCACACATCAAGGGTGAGGTTATTCAATACAGTAGTAGCACCCATCAAGGGTGAGGTTATTTTCAATAGTAGTACCCATGGGTGTAGTAGCACCCATCAAGGGTGTAGTAGCACCCATCAAGGGTGTAGTAGCACCCATCAAGGGTGTAGTAGCACCCATCAAGGGTGTAGTAGCACCCATCAAGGGTGTAGTAGCACCCATCAAGGGTGTAGTAGCACCCATCAAGGGTTTAATGTTAATCAATACAGTATAGCACCCATCAAGAGTGTCATTCTTCTCAATAGTAGCACCCATCAAGGGTGTCGTTCCAAGGGTGTCGTCTTTCTCAATCATATTTCAACGGCATTCCAATGGACATTATCCAACACAACAGTTTACAGGATTATTTCACAAAAAAATTTAAGGAATGCATAATGAACATCTTTACACCATTAATTCTTCAAGGTAATTGCTTCGTCTTTATACAGAAATAATCAGCAAACTATTATGGTTGTGATGTGGCAAAGCTCAAGGCAATGCCATTGATTTGATATTGATTTCTGTTGATATAACATCTCCGACGGTCGTCTTCATCGCTGATTCTTCAGTTTGTATTAGTCGAATAAAGTCCGTGAAGTTAAAAGTTTACTTGTTTTCGTACTTCAACTGGCGTTATTATGGCCAATGCAGAATTGGCATTGTCAGGATAACGTTGGTATAAATTAATAACTTTTGTATTCCCTCCCCAATTCCCAAAGTTCCTAAATGTCTTGCAAGCTGCTCTTTCCGCGCTTTTTGCAGTACGCTGAAGCTCCCTTAACTTTGTTTATTATTATTATCATTATTATTATTATTTTATTACACCAGCTATTTATACACGTTCATGTTTATATAGCTTTGCCTTAATCGTTTTCTTTAAGGAGGAAAAACTCAGAGTTTAAGAACTTTAGATTTGAAAATATTATTTTTATAGTGAATGTGTTATTAAAAAAAAACTGTTTTACGATTTTTATTCAGAAAAAGGTACTAATTTTTTTTACAATAATTATGTTTTAAAGAGCTCCGTATAGTAGCTGTATGAGTCGATAAAATCTCTTTTATCACTGAAGGTAGACATTATCGTCGTTTTAATGAAATAATTAACTGATTTGGTATCAGGATATCAAGATATCGTTAACCAGTGAAAAATCATCTCTGGATGACGATATCCTACAAGATATCATCACCCCGAGAAATATTTACTTTCTCGAGAAGATAACATCTCACCAAAAAGATACAGTAAACCCGAGAAATGTTTTTCCTCGAGAAGACGACATCTCACCTATAAAATATCACCAATCCGTGATGAATTATCTCGGAAAGACGATATCTAACTTACAAGACATCATCCACCCGAGATATACTTTTTCTCGAGAAGATGACATCTGATCAACACGATATCTTCTTCCCGAGAAATGTTTTCTTTCTTGGGAAGAGGATATTTCACCTACAAGATATCATCGACCAGAGATTTTTTTTCTCGAGAAGACAACATCTCACCCTACAAACAAGATATCACCAACCCGTGATGACACATTATCTCGGGAAGACGATGTCTTATTTTCAAGATATCATCAACCCAAGAAATATTTTTTTCTCGGGAAGACGGCATGTCACCTACAAGATATCACCAACCCGTGAACACTTTCTCGGGAAGACGATATCATACCTACAATTATAACAGTCGCGAAAACTACCCCAAAGATGTCCCCCTATTTAATAAATGACAGATGCTCATCAACCCATGTAACCAAAGAGCTCAGTAACGTGTGTCTACTTATTTCAGAAACATTGATTTTGAAAAGATTTTTTTTTTATATTGATCACATTTTTTATCCATTAGAATACACTACCTCGATACAGATTTTTAATTGATTACCGTTCATTATGTTTTTAAGGATCAAGTTACGATGATCTTAACTGTGCCATGCACGAAAAGGTTATTTTTGTAACTTCGTAATTGTTTTGTTAAAAAAAATTATAAGTTAATTTTTACACCATGGCTGTGCCAGGTCACGCTCCCTTACGCTGCTGCTGGTGTGCTCGGCTGCCTACGCACGCCATGTGCCTATACCCCCACCCACCCCGCCTTAATCCTACGCCTTAACCTGAATCGTAATCATTCATTTAATACAATCATAACTTTGCCTTATTTGCCCTCTTTGATCTTGAAAACGTCGAATTTCGCTGGTCTCGATCTCAACAGCGGGTCTTCTCCAATGCTTATGAGCTTCAAATAATTCCGTCGGCTATCTTTTAAAATCTAAATTTTTACAATCATAATCAAACGAATTCAGCTCTCAATATTTTTTTCTTCTGCTGTCCAGTTGAAATTATATTCGCATTCATAATATACAAGTTACCCTGAAGCTAATGGTGTAAAGTTCATTATTTTAAGCAATTTATACAAATTTAAAATCCGTGGATACATCGTCCATAAAATCGATTTTGGTCCATTGGAATGCCGTCCTATAATACTCTAAACAGTGTGTTTGCATTCAATAATGTCAGATTTATGATAAAATCCACCGGCTCCGTTGTTCTCTCCTCGAATTCATGGTATTCAGGTTTTTCATTTCATCTTTAAATAATGAAATAAGAGCTCGAAACCAGTTATTCTGGTAAGTTTTTAACCAGTAATTTAATACAA